TAAAATCTCCTCCACTTCCTGGGTGGGGATGCTACTACACTCTAGGGGGACCTCCTACACTCCGGGGGGATCTCCTAACACTCCAGGTGGGGGTTTATTGTTCGTCGCAATTTGTAATACTTCTAACGTATGTAAAAGAAAATCATTTGTGACTTTTTGTCCAGGGTGTCTGGGTTTGTACGTGGTGTTTCCATTTCACATTCGTAAGTATATATTTGATATTTTATATAGTGTGACGGTTTTTTGTTTTTTTTCTCCTCATTCTCATCGGGTGCTGAAACTGAAATAAAAAACTATTCATCGGGAGGTAGGATTTTTTTCCAAGGTAGCCCACGGGACTAGGATCATACTACCATATTGCAGTAAGTGTCTGCCGTTGTGGCCTTCTGTCTCTTTCTTCTTGTCTGATGCATATGTTTGTTTGTTGTATCGCACGCTAAGGTCAAAGTTCCGCGCCTTCGAAGCACTGCAGTAGAAGTTACACTCCATACAGGAGGTACCATTTATATTGAAGTGATAGAAGCGGTGAGCTTTATAATGAGAACACGACATCTCCATGCGAGAAAGTTCCGGTGCCGCATCACGCGATCATCACCCGATCTTTTGGTAAGAGCTTCGTATGGGCAGTCAAAAGTAAGAATAGACAGCACGCAAGCGATCGACTGTCGCGTTATTAAGTATACACTGAAATGTTCATAAGTGCTAAGACGGAAAAATGACTGTGCTCGCAGGTGAAGGACTATGATTGTATAACTTAAGACCACGAGCGACGGAGATACATAGTGAAGTAAATTTACGGAACTATTCGACACATACAAGTAACCAAAGCTTCAATGAGTCAGAAAGAGCTCGCAAGACAGCACCCCGTGTCGTATTATAACCGCTCAAACTGTCTAAAGTCTCCGACAGGGAAAGCAGCATAGAGTTCATGGACTGTTCGACACGAAACAGTCCGGCATATCCAAGAAACTAACATAACCATAATATAACGGGAATACTTAAGAGACGGAGAGAGCTCAAAGGTTACGCTGTAAAAACCTAAATTGAGGATTAACTTACGCCAATCTAATGTTAAGGTTTCAGTCGGAGATATCGAAGTATTTAGTGTATTCGCACGAAGCGTAAATACAATCCGACTACCTTTATGACAATGTATGATACAACGAATGTCGTATAGGATATGTTATTCTACTATATAAAAAGCCAGCCGCATCGGCATAGTAACAGAACCTGTAATTCAGACGGTAAAACTAGTGATCTCTGGAGAACTACACATCCTAATATTCTACTAAGAACAACAATAAGGCATGGAGGATTCTGTTTACGTACTCTTGTATACTCTGAGCGTCGGAGTAGTTCGTTATGACAGTCGTGTTTTGAAAATTAGATGTATTTTCAAGGGAGAAATGCGGAGAGCATCTGCTAGAAGAATACTGATACAACTCTATCCCTACACTCCATCAGATAGAATAATAAAAGACAAGCATCACTGTTCAATGGCTAAACTTGCACATAATGAGTATATGAACAAGTGTGTACAGGGCAGACCAGTATTTATAGCCCTTTTACTGAACCAAGGTAGTCAGTGTTCTTTGTAATAGTTCAAGTAGGGAGGTATCGGATGACTATACTGTCTGCTAAGATGAGATTCTAGCATGGGGTGCACCTGTAGAACATTTGTCGTTCGTCGTCGTGTCTTTCGAAACAGAGAGACGATGGTCGATATATATTACGTGGCTCATCGTATGCTCACAGCCGTTATGTGTGTCCTGTAAGAACAGTATCTCGGACCTATATGACGATTGAGAGACTAAAAAACCAAGATGGTATCGAGTAGACTTTGGGCTGAGTAATATCTCTATAATACCCCGGTACTTTTAGGTTCACTACATGAAATAACGTCGAGAAAAACTTAACTACCTTAATCAACAATAGATCGGATGATAACGCGGATTCGGACTGTCCTCATGCTCTGTATTCCCATAGTTCACGCTTCTTGACGTCTGGTCCTTTCTGCCCGGAGTACTCACGCGCCCCGACTGTCACAATCTAATAAGTGCGTTGAGAATTTCCCAACAAGCTGCGTAAATAGCATATACAACCTCTCTAGATTATCTTGACGATCGTAGCCGGTCTAGAAAATGTATAGTATAACAACCAGAATTGAAAAGATATCGTCGTACGGAATGAAGTAAGAGACTGTAGGTGGCGCAAGTTCTGGCCGAAGTCTCATTTTACTCTTACCGATTATTCTCTCTGATCCCCGTAAGAATGTACTGTACAAACAACCTTGTCGGGAGTTGAACTTTTTGTGTATTAATGTCTCCCTAGCTCTCTCTCTCGCTCGCTCTCTCTCTCTCTCTCTCTCCCTAGCTCTCTCGCTAGCTCACAGGGGCTGTGTGCTCCTCCTTGGCGATGACGGGTTGTGTTAAAAAATAATAATAAACATATTTGTAAAGTGGGAGGACACAAACGGGATTTCGAAAAGTGCGGGGGACATGTCCCCCCTGTCCCCAGGGGAGATTACGCCATGCGTGTGTGTGCGTCAAGTGGAATAAATATATATACAAGTTACAACACACACCGAGTAAAACTCTGCTCCTCATGTGTTGTATAGGCTGGCATGATAGGCTGTTCAATGGGGCTGATGTGTTGTGTAGATTCTGCCAGAAGGAAAATCAGCGGAGAGGTGCCACGTTGCTTTTCTTCCCGACTGCAACGCTGGTCCCGCAAATCAAGCAAGAACGTGATTGATCGATATTCATTGTGGGGGTGGGGTGTTAGATAGATATAGAGTTGTAGTAAGTAGATAGAGTTCGCTATGATTTAGGTTTCGTTTATGCATAGGGTAGATTCTTTTAATTACATTTCCTTTTTTGTTTTGTGTATTTTATTCATGGACTTGCTTGGCGAGCTATTTTTAGAACATGCCCGGCGGGCGACTCACGTTGCCCCTGCGGGCGACTGAGTGCCCGCGGGCACCGTGTTGGCTACCCCTGCTATAGATACTACCCCAGTTCCTAAACCTTAGTGGAAATGCGCCATAAAGTGAGCCAGTCCTAACGAGGCTAACTTGATCCAGCCACTCCTGGTCCTTTCATCAGACGGGAAAAGAAAGAACGAGAAAGATCCATTGCTGGTATGATAACAACCTGGTACTAAGCACACAGGCATCTTGTTAAAGTTATCTTATCTTAGCTATCTCTTATATTTAGCGGAGGAAAACAATTATGACATCACTTACGCGACTCTGGGATTTGTAGTCTTTCTAGTTGCGTACTTTTCATAGTCTTATATTTCAACAGTTTTACGACAAACTGTGACTTTTTTGACATGGAAATTATTTTTTAAGATTGACAAACATCATATGTGTAATTCGTGGCACAATTCAAATGGGATCGAAAGATACGTTTTCTCTCTCCATTGACTTCAATACATAATTTTTCCGAAATAAGGTCCCATGGAGTAGATGGGCGTGACTTTGCCACTCTATAGTTTCACTCCGTTTGAATGTCAGTGGACTGAAAATAATTCAATAAAGGAGCATGGCTGCTCATTCCCTGGCTCTCAAAATAGTTTGGCTAACTCTGTTAAAAATCTGTTTTTATTAAAAAGTACAGGTTGCATATGTGTTCTCAGCCTTGGATAAACTTGACATGTTTTGGGATGTGTCTGAACCTCTCTTTAGTGGTTTAATAAAACAGATATTTCAACGTGTGCCTACTTTGTTCATGTACTGTTGAGGTTAATTTCAGTAGTTGTGTGCAGATAATGTATTTACAAAGTGTGAAGAGGAGGCAACTTCAGAATAGGGAACCTGTTCAGGTCCATTAGAGTACTAGCTTATTGGTTATAAACAAGACTTCACTTTAAAATAGGGAACATATTATTAGATAAAAATAGCTCATTTTGAGTTATTTAGACTTAATTAACACTTATAGTTTCATGTCTTGTTACATAAGAATAGATCATAAGTGTTATTATTGGAGAATGTATTGTGGTATTACTGCCTTATTAGGCCCATATTGAGCAGAGCATATTAAGACCAAAACTCATGTACAACAACTTCCTTACTTGCAATAAATAAGAACCAATTAGAGGGTTATTGAGGAAAAACTCTCAACTAATGACCTATTACTTGTAGAATATGTTCATGTAGAATAAGGCATTAATAAGTGTTTTATAATGACTAATAAAGAGCCAATATACTGCTAATATGCATGTTCATTAACAACTAGTTGATGGTGAATTTGTTTACCTTAATATAAACCTTAATATATGTTACCAAAAGTTCTTATTGCAGCTCACATGTAGCTAGCAGTGCTCTGAGCAGCTTCAGGCTCTGTTTTCAAGGCTTTAAACCAGTCAAATAATGCATATTTATATTATATTTCCTGTTGGATCAACCTGACTTCCTTTTAAAGTATACTCTCTCACAACCAGTACAATGTCCTCTCACACTGTCATAATCTCTCAAAAACACAAACATTGTCTTTCACACACTATCATTCTCTCTCACCAACACTAATATACCCTCATACATACTACAATTCCTCTCTCACATACACTATCATTCTCTCTCACACACACTAATATACCCTCATACATACTACAATTCCTCTCTCACATACACTATCATTCTCTCTCACCAACACTAATATACCCTCATACATACTACAATTCCTCTCTCACATACACTATCATTCTCTCTCACACACACTTATATACCCTCAAACATACTACAATTCCTGTGTGTGTGAAAGAGAGTATGATTGTGCGTGTAAAAGTGTTTAGCAATATGTATAAAATAGTTTAATGGTGTATTTGTGAGATTCTGATATTGTTTGAGTATGAGTTGTGAGCTAGACGGCCTCTCATAGAAAACTACCAAGGATGTAGATCAGCTGGAAAAGCTTCACATTGTTAACTATTGTAAAAGCAAATTTAATTCACTAAATGACTTTGTATGACTGATGTGGTTTTGTATTTCTCACCCAGCAGTGGTGGAAGCCAGTTGGCGTTGGCCTCACAGTGAGAGTCCAGGAAGGTGATGACTTCTCCTTTAGCAGCACCGGCTCCCAGCAGGCGAGTCCTGATCAGCCCCTCCCTCTTCTTGGTCCTCATGATGCGAACTTTGGGCATACGCATCATGTATTCCTCCAACGGCAACTTCAGGTGCTCTGTAAGGGGGGGAAACAGGAAGAAGCTCATCAGTCCCATGTTCAGTGCTGAAAACAATTGTTTTGTTAAGTCGTATTTTTGCTTTGGTGTGCCATTTCACTTCTTCACAGCTTAACACATACACTTCAATAACATTTGTGGTTTCACAGAATACTGTTGGATAACCAACAGAAACAGATGTTTCAATAAACCACATGGACAAAGATAAAGCTAGCAAACAAACCTTGGTTTCGAAGCCAACATATCTGTTTGCTTCAATGTTTTAAGACTGTTATTGAAGTGTGCTGCTACATGATGGACTTTGGTTGTATGATTGTTTACTGCAGCACAAAGTGGTGGATGTACAGTAGTCCTTATTTATCTTAAACTAAATCTGGAAAATTGTAGTATTGTTCCCAAACAGTAGCCCATACCACAATCCATTACATTTGAATAAACCATACATAATGGGAAAAACATCATCTAGAATGTCATAGTCATAACTGATTACCTGCATTAGTAGAACTTTGGATTAACTTTTCTTTAATAAAGTGTGTCCTTTAAGTTGAACTTAAAACATAGATGTTGCATTGCAGTGTTTACTCCAACAGCCTGTAATATACTGGCAACCTTTCGATGGTGCACATTGCCTTTTGTCGACTGCATGCTGGTATTTGGGATAGGCTCCAGCCCTCTGTGACCCTGCACAGGATAAGTGCTTTAGAGATATGGATGGATGCCTACTGCAGTAGCACTGAAGGACTAGTCAGGATGGGGAAATCTTTAAAAAACAAACGCAGCTGACACATTTTGCAGGCCCCCTAATGTCTTTACATTACTTGCATTTGGGATGTTTACATTGTCAGAACATTAAACTGTACAGTAGCACTTGAAATGTTTTGGCTCTATGAAACCTGATGTACTTATATGATTCTGTTTTCTTCAAGGTTGTATCTTCCTGGTCAAATGTACTTATTGTAAGTCACTTTGGATAAAAGCGTCAGCTAAATGCAATGTAATGTAATGTAAACTGCACAGGCAATGACTCAGACTGACAAGCTGCAGAACATTGTTGCTTCATTGATGCAGTACAAATGTCTTTAAATAACAGATACATGATTTATAGTAATATTGCATCAGCTAATGCTGTAAACAGCCGACATGTATTTATTGCCGAGATTGACATGTACTGATTAATGACCAATCACATTTTGCTTAAAGGAGGAAAGACACACTAATCAAAGGGAATCAAACAAACTTGAAATGCTTGCAGAGACATGCTGCAAGCCTTCTTCTAGACAAACTGTATCCAACACAAGTAAAAAGGTTTGTCCAAATGATACCTTTGTGGTGTAAGCAAGGGCCCTATGCCTGCATGTGTAATCAAATCCTTTCCATCACTGTAATCAAGTCAATATCTATTTGAAAAGTTCAGCTCTTATTTGTCATAGGAGCAGGTTGACTTAATGGTCTCCCTCAAGAGAAGAGTATTTTGTTTACATTAAGGACTTTTCTCTTCATGTTTTATTGCGCTTGAGATAAAGATTTAAAGGCAATATAAAATATTAAAAGGGTATTCATCTCCATCTTTCGGCTTGATGGTCATAACATATTTGAGATATGTTTTTGGAAGGGAGCTTGTTTTAAATCAGGTTCTCCGTTTACAGATGCAAAGCTTTATTCAAGAATTAAAAAAGTCTTGTTTCCCCACTGCAATATATGTGTTTTCTTTACCAGCCCACGTATATTTGACAGTAGCTTTGAGTGTCTGAACTTGGTCCTCTTGTTAAATACCATGTATCTTCATGTTTGTCCTCTTGTTTTATGTTATTAGGGGTGAAAATGAGTTTGTTTTTGTACACTAACATTTGATTTTTGAAGATAACAGGGTGAGCCCTGAGTGCTCTCAGTGGTTTGAATAGAAATCATTCCTCAAGCAGTCAAAACATGAAATGTAACTTTGACAGGTTCTTTTGAAAAAGCCCCAGTACTGCCTGTCAACAAGAGCAGAGAGAGAAACTCTGAGTTTGAAAAGTTGACCTTCTAACTTTTATTAACTACATCAGACTGAGCTTACATTTGACAGTAACATATACAAAGTGCCCTGAGAGGAATATATATTCTGAATATAAATTCAGACAAACTTTAGCAGGAGGGAAAATAACTGTTCATTTGTTGTCCTTTTGTAAAGGAGGGAGAGTAGTGCTGGATGGAATTTTAAAAATGACATGGAGGAGAACATTTCCCTCCATCTCGGTATTTTCACTCCCCTCAGTTGTCTCTGTTTCTTCTTTTTTACATTGAAAAATTTCAAATACAACTGTTTTTTATGGTCAAAGTAAAACATAAAGCGTCGACAGGGATGAGGAAGAATACGTCAAGGTCAACAGGGAGGATGTGACAGGAATCATTCGTTCTGACCTCAATACTTATCTTTATCTTTGTTCTCCAGAAGTGCTTAAATAGAAGGCTGTGATTTCGATACCTTATTGTTCTCTCAGTTGTTCATTTTATTTTTTCTGTAATGTCTACTTTTTTTTATTTTTACATATTGGCTAAAATCATGCTATACTAGCTTCTAAGTAAAAGTCGAAACAGATTAATGGATGTTTATCCTTGACTTGTTTTTTCAAACACGCTTATCTCCACAAAATGTGCGTATCCCTGATTGCAGCATTATTTGAATGACACCTTAAGTTTATAAAGCATAATGAATCAGTTAGTTGCTACAAGCTAAAATGTTATTGTTCTTTTTAGGAATGCACAACATGTTGATGCAGGTTTAGTGTTGTTTAACACACTGAATGAAAGTAGCCTTCAATATAACACTCAATTCTGCAAAAAAACAAACTCAATAACCTTCAAGCTGATTGTTTGTGATGCTGTTTAATTGTAATATTCTTTTTTTTGTATCTGTTACAACATTCCTCTATATCACTGCATCCAAACAAATTCCAGCTCTAATCCATCCCTCCATCCCCAATTTCAGATGTATTTAAAGTATTTTTCTTTGCTTTATAGATTTTCTCTGACTTCAGTGAAGGTCAGTGGTGTATATTTTCTGTTGCCGTGTTTATTGTGTTGCACAGCAGATGACCTACAAGCTGTAAAGTGTGACATTGCAACAAGGGCGGAAGGTCTCCGTGAGGTCGGCGCCAAACTGCGTGGAAAAGGCGAGCTGTCTTCCCTGAATGTTCCTGCAATAAATCAAGCTATTAAAAACTGACCACTACGAGCCTGACTCTGTCTCTTTGTAAACGAGCACCCTACACAAAGTGATGCTTACATCATCCTGTTAATGACAGGAAGCAAGGCAAAATTAATCAAGGAACATTCACCCTGAGTGTCTGGAGATCTTGTATGGGGATAGGTGAGGGAGAAAGATCACAGCATTTAATTATGATTGGTTAAGTTTTGCTGAATAAATTGGAATACTGCTCTCAATGTTTACCAAAAGCAAGGAGACAATTAATCACGCTAATGAGATCGAGCTGATGTCGGCAAACACATTAGTCTTTATTAAAATGTGAAGCAGAGGATATTGGAGGGCTGAGGCATCCTGGATGTCAGGGTCATTTCAAAGCGTGGAGTAGTGGGATGCATCGGGTGAATCGCTCCCCAGGTTGGTGATCAAATCCAGGCAATTTATTCAGAGCGGACTCCACTGGAATTCCCTGCCTACCATTCATCTCTTTAAGTTTTTCTTCCTCCCTGCAGGCCGTCACTCACACATTTCTCCTGTGGACGTTGCCTGAGCTGCCCGGCCTTCTTTCATCTACTCAAATGGGGCCGTATTCAAACATGAATTACTGGTTAGCATATGAAAGGCATGACAGTTGGCCCCAGGCTCCTGTCAAAGTGTCTGTGTGCATTTAAAATGTCATTGATAAAATGTGTTTTTAGCTTCTGCATGTCCCGTGAACTGAAATCACACCGTCTGTCTGGACTGTTTAAAGGAGTAGTAAGTCAATTCAGGTCTTTGACTACATCACAAGCACCTTAACTGCAAAATGTCCTTCTAAGCATGTGTCGACTTTTTACATAGCCGTCTTAATCCTCTCCTTTGAATAACAAGTCCTTATAGCTAAAATGACTGATTAAGCGTTTTCTGAAAAGACAGCCCAATAGTTTGAGGCAACTAAATATACCTTTTTAAGGTATGAGAAGGATCACCTTTACTTTACAAGAAACCAATGCTGACTTCTACTTCTTTAGTTCTTGTCCTTGTTCCACTTTTTTCTGCAACAGGAATAAACATGCATTTTATAGGTTTTATTTTTCTAAATGATAATGTTTACATATACTTTAAATGTGTCCTTTAAATGGGCCTTACAATATGTTAAATCCTTGTGCTATAAAGGGTATTAACTTATGTTAAAATCTGTTGAGAGATTTCCATTTCCACCACACACCACCTGCACAATCCTCCCTAATGCATTAATTTTGCGTTAAGACACACTGGATCCAACATGGCACACTGAGCACTGTTCTGGCAGTGGTGGATTAATCCCAAGATACTCTGGCACGCAACCAAGGACCGGAGCTGCTCGTTTATTCCCTCAGCAAAATATTATTATGCCCTTGTGAACTCAATCACAATACGTCAATTTTATTCCTGAGGCAGCATGAATTTTTGCTTCTATCGTTAAAAAAAAGGTTCTCGAGGGAGGAAATGTGCTTTCCGTAGGTCATTGTACCCTGCATTGTGAGGAATGGCAAGTACATTGGGTTAGGGAGGTACATGACGAACCAACAATGTCTAGTTTTGGCATATTGCATATACACCTCAGTTTTGTTATGTTCATTACTTCACTACGACAGTTCAGTAACATTGCATTAGTATAAATGTTGAATTGATCAATATAACACTCACTTTTCCAAGAAGGAGTGGACCAACTGAGTATTGGCAGGACTATATTGCAATTTAAAGGCAATCATTTGACCTGAGGGCACTGCCAAAAACTCCTTATGTCAAGTATAAATCCAGCTTTGGCTGCAAAACGCCTCAGTGTCTGCTGGAGGTTACAGATCGATGAAGCATATAGAATCACATCATCCACAACACCAGAGATGCAATACTCTGGAAACAGGGACTGAGACCTTCATGTCTTACTTGCTAGTAGGGTCCATCTATAATAAACACAAAAGACATGGATGAAAAGGATTAACCTTGACAGGGATCAGTGAGCTCTCATAAAATGAATTTTCATTAAGGTGAAATGGCAGTGAGCTAAGAAGGACCATCTCTCTAAATGACATCACTGATACACCATGATCAGGCCACAACCAGATTAAATCAATACAAAACCAGAACAATCTTAATAGAGTTTGTTTGCACAAACAGATAACGTGTGCATTTAACTTTTACAGTGAGCTAACTTTTTCCTGAAACTCAGAGGTTTTAAAGTAATTGAGACCAGCTGCCAGCAGAATCACAGGGGAACTTGAAAAGCAGCCTATTTTATCAAATGTTTTAAGAGTTCTTCTCTTCAAGAAAATACTTCTGATATATTATGATTTTGGATGATTCTGATTCTGAACAGACTAAGGCAGGATACACAGGAAAATAACAAGATTGAACTATGTCGTGATGCAAGTCTTAACATACAAGGTCTAAAGAAGGAAGTAAGTAGATAAGGTGAAAATAGAAAACACTATAAATGAACATCTGACCTTTGTGAGTGGGTGATTTATACATGAATTGTTTGGGTAGTTTCAGCTCAGTTTGAAATAATTTCTGCAGCCCCATCCTACAGATTCTCCATCACACTTTATACCGAGGGAGGTTTAAGTTATTCCTGCATGTACTGTATTATGCTCTGTAAAGCTCAAGGCCCTGATGGCCTGTGGGGGCAGAGTCAGATTGTGCTCTAAACCACAAAAAAAAAAAGCGTATACTAAGCTCTTCAGATGTGCTACCTACCTTAGCGTGCGAAACCACACTTAAAACCATGTTGCCCCCTGATCATCTCAGAATTGTAGCAATTGTATTCACAATTACAAAGTTTCAATGATTTTAGATATGAATGTTTGAGAGCACATCACACTGCAAAGTTCAAACCCATTTTAAATCCCTCTTGTTATCCTGATGTTCTAGGCCCTTTCTAAAACTACACATAAAACAAAATATGCTCGAGGAAAAGGTTTACAAAGCGCAAAACAACAAACTGTAGAGGCAGAAATCCTTTTTTTAATTTGTGAGGGAGTGAAAATGCAACCTGATTGTTTTTGTTCGACTAAGATTTAATCACCAACTTCATCTAATTAGCCAACTGTGTATGCGGTTAAATACACTGAAGTCTAGATTGGAGACAGGTGAATTTGCTCATTAGCTTTTAAATGAAGCTTGCGACTATTTGATTGGTCATAGCAGAGACCAACGAATACAAGCTACAGAAGACATTGTTATTTTTGTCCTCACACGTTATTCATCTGGTCCTCTCCTCCTCAGGAAGTCGTTGAATCGATCACTTCCGACTGATGGCTCAACATCTCTAAATGGCGACTCTTAATTAGCTCCTTTTGTCCTCTGTCTCCCTCTCAACCTTCCTCTTCATATTACTCTCTCCCCCGTCTCCCCGTCACACTTCACTGAGCACCATTATCTAATTATCTCCCTACACCCTCAGTCACATACACAAACAGATTTACGCATACACACACACACACACACGCACACACGCTGGCATGAAGGAATAAAAATGCAGAAATGTTTTTCAGTCTTTCTGCAATGATGAATCTGCCTTCGTTTCTCGCTTTTATTGAAGACGTTCCACAAATTGTCTCCTATCTCCTCGATCCAACTTTCCATCATGCAGATGGTTCTGCTGCTGGTGTTGATAAGACGGTTCAAAGTATACTCTAAATCGCTGACAGCAGCTTTCTCACACAACCGGAGCAACTTAATCATAGATAAAACTGTGTAGAAATGAAATCAGTTCACTAAGTACCCATTAGAAAGTGTTTGCAAACATGTTTATTTAAACCAAATCCCTTAACATATTGTGCCTACTAATGGTCATTGCAAAAGGATAGTAATGTCAGTTGTTTAAAAGGTATGTCAGTCATTTTATTCCCTGATGAATCCTAGTACAAATGTGATTTTTATTAACGTATCGATATGTATATGTTAGGACAATGTTGAAAATTGCAAATGTCAATATAGTTACTTTGACAATAGTCCTCTCCACGCTGAAGATGAGAATTCTGAAAATTAGGCCAACATGATATAGGGAACAATCCAGTAATGTTGTCTGAGTCGGGACTTGTTTGTGCTTCGATGCAGCGATCACCCCGCACTATCATATATTAATAAATAAATACAATGGAGTGAACTAGTACCTCAAAGAATGTAATTGCGAAGGAGACATGTTTGAAAAATACAGTCACTTAGTAAAAATCTGTTTAAGGCAGAAGAGAGATCTGACAAACACTTTGATGCTCTCAGACTCCATTAGTTGCATTCCTCTCATATTTAGCCATTAGGATTCTCGGCATTTGTTCACAATATGGTGCAAAAGTAACAGCATAGTAGTAAATAAGAGCACTGACTGTCTTCTTATCCTCACCATCGAAATAGGTGCAAAAAAAGTGCTCCAAAAGAATCTGAGGTTGGCAGCACTGAGTGCCAGCACTTGCTGAGATAACTATCATTCTGCTTCTGAACACAATGAAATCTGTTTGCTTCTTAAATGTGAGACATATTTCTGCACTATTAGCAGTGGACCATGTGGTCAGCTCTGTGCTGGCTCCAGGTTGGAGGCTGTGCTAATCCCTGCTGGGAGCCATGCTTTCTGACCACCAAACCTCCTCTTCAGCTGACTGGGAACGCATCATAAGTCACTCTGCATACGAGCAGCATACTGGCCACTCCTTAGTTGAAATGAAGTATTGCAGCCATTTGCTCAACTGATCCCATCGGGGAGCAGAATATAGGAAATGAATTGGGCGATCAATCTGCCAATGGCAGGCTTCCATCAAATGATTGCTGATAGCACCATGAACCCAATGAGTAATTACAGGCTCAGTTTCAGGCTGTGATTTTATGACACAAGTATCTTTCATTCTGACATTGATTTCAATCAATATTATTGACAAATACAACAAAAATAATGGAAAAATTTGTCCAGTTTACATAAAATGCAAAATTCACTTCAAATTCATTTATGTTTCGTTTGTTCCAAATACGAATGTTTATACCAATTATGGCTATACTGTACACAGCTTGTTGCAAGCGGCATTAATTGCTTGGCAAGTGTACTTGAGTTTACTTCTAATGGTTGCAAACAAAAAATAGAAAAATATAAATATGCAGCTAAATACAATCTGTGCAGAAGGCAATATATTTTGCAATTAATTGAGCCTTTGCAATTTACTAATCGAACACAGTAAAGGCCCTGACACACCAAGCAGTCACCAGAGAACTCGCCGATGCCGACGCCGACTGTTGCGTCGGCGTGTTCTCCTGCGTCTTGGCCATGTGTCACACTGGAACACACCGCAAAGACTTCAGCCGAGTACGTACGAACTGCGCATGCGTGAGTGGCAATAACTCTCCTTACCAGCAGGCGGCGGTAGTGTGTATTCGTCATTCAAAAAAGGCAACAACCGGAAGACAGAGAAGAAGAACAGACTACGTGATACAAACAAACAACAAATAGCGTGCGTTCCATTTTCACTCTCGTCCATCGAAAACATATTTTGTGCGGTACTGGAGCTATCAGCCATTGGAGTGTTGCTTGTGGAAGACATTCTCAAGCAACCGCTTCGCTTCTCATGCACTGATTCGCTAGCTGAACAGCCAATCAGAGTGATTTCTTTGCGTCGGCCATGAAAGGCCAAATAAGGCGTGTCACGGCCGGCGGTGCGGGAAACACCAAATTGAGTTTGGGCGACAGGGCACGCTTCGTCGTCCGACTAACGAAAACGGCCGATTTTGGCCTGGTGTTTCAGCACGCACGCACGCACACACGCACACACACACACACACACACACACACACACACACACACACACACAATCTCTTTCCGTCTGACTTTTTGCACACTTCTCTCCTCTCCTCACTTTTCCTCACTCTGTTTCTCCACATCTTTATTTTCTTCTCTCGCCGCACATCCCGGTCTCTAATCCTGTATCTCTGTTCTTTTACTGCGAGGCGTCAGGGCTCTCCACTGCACAGTATGAATACTTAATGAATCTTATGTCTTTTACAAGCCTCCGCCCCCACTCACCTCTGTCCTATCTATCCCCCCCTCCCCTCCTTTCCTTCCTCCAAGCACTCTTCTACCTGTATCAGCTCCTCTCCGTTTCTTCATTTACTAGCCAGGAGCCACTCAGCTGGTTACAAGGAATAAGATCTGCCCAAAGGGGACACCAGAGGGGAAAGAGGGGTAGGGGGAGGGGGGCCATTTTACCTTTTTTTTTAATGCAGCAATGTAGGGGAGGGTGTGTGTGCTTATTATACACTTGATCATGTACAGTAAATGTCAAGCTAGACGATCTCAGATCTCAAATGTAAAGGTCACCTATTATGCAAAATCCCCTTTTTCATAAATGTTATACATCAACATGTGTCACCTCACATGAACAAAGATTCTCTCTCTTTTTGTCCTGATCCATTTCTATAAAAACCTGTCTGCAAATGAGCTGAACAAATTTTGGCCACTTTATGATGTCATAACGATGTTTTGGCTTGTNCGTGATATAAACAAACAACAAATAGCGTGTGCGTTCCATTTTCACTCTCGTCCATCGAAAAGATGTCTCGTGCGGTACTGGAGCTATCAGCCATTGGAGTGTTGCGGTGCGGGACACACCAAATTGAGTTTGGGCGACAGGGCACGCTTCGTCGTCCGACTAACGAAAACGGCCTGGTGTGTCAGGGCCTTTAGACGTTTCTTTTGATGTATTGGTATTATATTCCCTTGGAATTTGGCCCTTATTGGCCTCCATCACAATTGGGAATCCAAGATGGAGGAACAATTCCAAAGCCCCAATTTAAGCACTAAAGGATGATTATTTGCTACTTTTTACTGATGGAATGTTTCTATTTGATCAACTATTCCAAGTCCATAGCATAAGGGATTGGTGAAAATATGAATAGTGCAGTTACTGAACTCTGTGAGTCAGATTTAGGAGATTTGTAGATCCTATCCGAAGAAAAGCTGATGGAACATATGAGACTCCAGCATGAAGGCACATACTGTCAAGCACAAACTTTTATCTTACATAAAAGTTCCCTCTTTACGCCTCCTAACATCTTCTCTTCTTTGATGTGGAGAGGAAGGAGGCAGCTTTCTATTATTTTCTATTTCTGTGTGACAAGTTACGGCTACTTTCCCTGCCTCGTCTGGTCATAAATCCGTGAAATGACTTGGGTTCCATCAGCAGAATTCATTGCTCAACCTCCAACACTAAGCTGGCAGACACACGCAAAAAATGTACCCAGTGTGACCATCTTAACAGAGCAGCAGGCAAGCTGTGGGTACCACTGAATTATTGTAATCACGTTAGAAGAGTTAGGCAATAATGACAATCATTTGACGATAAGCTTGACTCTGACTTGACTGATTTTTTTTTTATTAGGGCATTAGTCTTCTCTAAACCCAGATATTAGATATAATTTTAGAAAATCCAAGGTGATTATCTTTTTTGCTGCTTTTTTAATATTGATGGGGTTGGATTAGGGTTAGGGTTAGCCCTAAGTGTGACAGATAGAGGACAGGTAAATTGGTATTTGACATGGTGTATGGTGGGTTTAAATTTAGATATTTCACAATTTCTAAGGGTTGTTGCTGTATATGTGGAGAGAAGTAGAAACAAGGCTATATATTGTTGTCTTAAGCTTTTATAGCAGCACTTACTCATTCTCTGAATACCAGCGTTCATGCTCGAGCTTCAGAGTAAGAGAGAGCTAATAAGAGAGACTGGGGGGCATTCTACACTGACATGTTGAACTGGCCTCAACAGAAACCTGTAATTAAAGGAAATATGAAGAAAGTGTGAAAACCAGGAGGAAAGGTGACAGTGTAGTGAAAGACTGAGTGGGTTTTATTATTTGATCTATAACACAACAGAAAGGTCACAGCATGTAGGAGGGAGCGGGAAGGCACTTCATTGCAAAGTTGTAATGTACCAAAGGGTGGAAATTAAGAGAAGAAAAGGAAAAGGAAAATTCTGCCAACAAATTTCCACTGTTATTTGAAAGCAGGGGTCAAAACTGCTTTGTATTGGAATACAGGGAAGTTGTGTACATTTAAAGACCTTGTGAAGTGTGCACCTGTGCATGATCTGTTATGCTAATATGTATAGTAATGACAAAAATTGTCCATTGGAACCCATATAAAAAGATGTTGGAATAGCAACGAATTTGACGAGTTTTGAATTTGCCGGGGAAATCTGCAGTCGACCTTCGCCTTCGTGGGCGTGGCTTGCGATCTACTGCGTGACGTCACGAGATGGAC